TATAGTCTAAGTTTACAGTCAAACACAAAACAAGAGATACAAGAATGTTTCTCTCTTAAAAATATATACGATATTCTGCTGTGCAACAAATTTTAGTTTTCAAAAGGAAATATATCCCAAATGCAGTTACCTCAACTCCATTTTGGAAATAAGTAATGTATATAATTATGAATAACTTTTTTAAATTGCATAAGTTACTTTTAGAAAGGGATAAGAGAGGACATTTCTGGCCTAAAAATTATGTGTATCACACCAAAACATTATACACTCATTTCAAAGATGTCCTAAAATTAATAATAAAAATTAATTTAAAAAATATTGTCTTTTAAATTAGCTAAATGCAATAAAAACTGTTTTTTTCCCCCAAAGTCTCAAAAAATTAAACGCTCTGTCTTATCAGACCAATTTATGTTTGTACATATTGCCTAAATCATTCCACTTTATAATAACTTGTTTAAAATAGGCCCCTCATAAGAAAGTAAATATAAGTAGATTTTAAGATCAATAGATAGAGTCAGAGCCTTTGTCTGCATCTTCTTACTCTACCCCACACATTAATGGAACTCAAATTGTAATAGTAAATGTTATTTTAACAGAAGAGCTGACTTATTAACCATTCTGTCAAAGTGCCATATATGGACTCCCACAGCCATGCCACTGATTTAAGACACAAGGTAGAGAGCCAAAAGGCTCGCCCACACGGAAGAAAGGGAAAATATCATTATAGCTCTCTTAACATTGAAGACTTGTTTCAAGCCTCCTCTTAAAAAAAAATCACTTGGTAACACCTTTACTATCTGAAGACAAAAACAAGGTTTAAAATCACTTACGTGCTCAAACTTGTGCTCCATCAATATTTTATCCTTTTGTGGCCACAAGTTTTAGAAGCAAAATGCTAACAATGAACCAAAGGACAACTTTCACATATGCTGAAAATATCTGCTTAACCTTAACTTAACAAGTTGTTTTTCACAGAACTTCATAGAAATAATTTTGAGAGCAGTCACTGTATGTCTAATAAATCACTTTAGTTTCATATTTAAGCATAAAAATTTCTACAACAGTTTTTTTTTTTTTTTTGGTGAGGAAGATTGGCCCTGAGCTAACACCTACTGCCAATCTTCCTCTTTTTGCTTGAGGAAGAGTGGCCCTGAGCTAACATCTGTGCCCATCTTCCTCTATTTTGTATGTGAGATGCCGCCACAGCATGGCTTGATAAACGGTGTGTAGGTCCGTGCACAGGATCTGAACCCACAAATCCGGACTGCCGAAGTAGAGCGTGCCGAACTTAACCACTACGCCACCAGGCCAGCCCTTCTACAATAGTTTTTAAAAAGAGAAGTAACTAGTTAACAAATCGAAAAGGACTTTAAGTTTTCTTGGATTTTAGCTGGACATGTTTTCTAAAATGTTAAAATGGTCATATCTAAGATATACTGGTATTCTTTGGTTCCTTGCTGTAAATGACAAAAAATTTCCTTCACACATATTTTCCCTTCTGAGAGCAAAGGAAAAGAACAACATTAAACCAAAATATAATGCTAAAATACAAAGGATTTAAAAATTTAAAAAGCAACTACATCTTTATTTGAAAACTTCTAACTACTTTTTGAGCTATATGAACATAATAACTTCCTGCATAAAAGTAACACAATTGAGATGAATGAAGTATTCTGAAAAGATGATATAAAGACTCTGAAATGCTAAATTCTCACTTCTATATAGAAATAGTATCTTGTGTAGAAGCAATAAATTATAAACATCTTATAAAATGTCCTGAGGTTGTTGGTTTCCAATTTGTGTAGGATGGATAATTTTGAAAACAAGAAAGTAGAATGAGCAGCATAAATAAATCCAACTTTGGCGTCAAAAATGTTCTATTTGGTCAAACCTAGTTTTAGTATCTTGTAACCAGTAAGCAGAAAGTCTAAATTTCATTTCCATTTTAAGTCCCTCCTCAAGTATAGAGGTTAAAATATGCATTCCAGAATAGTAAAGGAAGGGCCTGATCTCTTTGTGGAGATTTTTTAACAGAGGTAACAAAGATCTAGATATAACATCATGCTTCATAACTGAAATGAAGGAAAATATGATAAAGAAAGAATAACTTTTGGATAAATAGCATAGCCATTAGCTTTTCTCATCCTGAACTAGAATTTTTTAAAAGTTACTACTTCAAATCAATAATAAAATTACAGAAAATAGGTTTTTAGAGTGTTTCAAGTAAACAAATCCATAATTTCTAGTAAAAAAGGAAAACCCATTAAAACACTCCAATACACACTACACCCTCCAGTGGGCAAACATCCATGGAAAAATATAAAAAGATTTAGTTGGATTTTCCACTCGGTTAAATCAGTCCTATAACTAATGAAATGATGGCTCTAAAAACCTCATAAAAGTTCACACTATTTTAATCACTTGTCTTAGTAGCCGAGTTAGAAGCAAAGATTTTTTAAAAATAACAATTTGGATCTTATAAGGAGTATGTAAAAAAATAAAATCATGATCTGCTTATCTTTCCTTAAAAAACAAAGTGCTATCAGATTCTTACTCCTTTAACTTAGAAAAAGGTAAATAGAATAAATCACGTATAAAAATGTATAATTCAAAGATAAAGTATCCTTTATATCATGAGCTGCAAAGGCCAGCACTAATACTTTAAAGCAAAATCCAAAAATTATGGTTCCTTAGTGAGAACTGTGGCAGAAAAGCAGTATGTTCATTAAGTTTTCAGGAAAACAACTTACATTATCACCTGGTAATATTTAGTATTACTGGTCTCATGAGGCTATGCGGTCACTACACAGAAATATAAACACACTTAGAATAAAATTAAGAGACTACCTAAAAGAGCCCTTATTCTATATGGCTAATGTTTCAGCATTTAAATGATATAATAGAAGCAAAGACTAGATTAAAAGTATTCCACAATGGTCCAAATATCATTTCAAGTTTCTCCAATTTACAACAGAAAACAAAACATATATTTAATATATAAATTTAGAAATCATGTATGAAGGCGGACATTTCCCAAAATGCATCAAAGAATTTCTGAACATATATACTCTTGGAAAAACTAGCACAACTAAGACTATTTGAGGTCTTGAACTTACTACAATTAGGATATGAGACTAGCAATTAAAGGATAACAGTGACATCTAGTGGACATTCCAAATATATACCACACATATCTTGGATCAAAATATTTTATTTCCCGCATTTCACGTTATTTCAACCTGCCTGAGGAATTATATGACAAATATTTAGTTTTAAACAAAAACAAGACCACTCTGCTCCCAAAAGCCTTCTCAATACGAGTTACCCAATCACGTGATCAACAAAAATGTTTAACAATTAAAATATAAGAAGCAAATCAAGTCTTTAAAGCACTAAACACTGATTAAATGTATTAGATATAGGGCTAAAAGAAGGGCTAGCAAAAGGTCCAATATAATTAGAATAATAAAAAGAATTTAAAGATTCTCAATGAAAAAAGCACTAGGGCAAATGAAAAAACTTACAAAGGAAGTAAAGAGCTTATCTATTTAAGAATTTATTTAAGCATGGGAAGTATGTATTAACCAGTATGGTCTCTCAGATAAAATAGGAAATGTTTTTAAACTAAAAGAAGAATATCTTATCTACAACAATTTTTCAAAAACAAATTAGCTCTCAAGAAAAGTTATAGGATCATTTTTTAAAAGTAAAGAAAGATCAATGTACGGAACAAGACCAGGTAGTTATCTCAAAAAGCGACAGTTTCCTCAAAGAAGGATGAAAAAACAAGCTAAAAAATACCTGTGGACAATGTCCTTACTTACTCTTATTTGTCAATATATAAGCAAATTTCACATGAGAACAACAATGCACTTAATGAGAAAACAATGAAAGTATACGTGATTTTTATTAAGTATTTTATTACTAACTCAGGGAAGCAATATAAATGTAGAGACAGGGTCTTAATATAAACACTAAGTCAAGTAAGAGTCCAGGCCACAAAGTAGGAAGTCTTTCAAAAATCACAGGTGCTTCCCAGATCTCTCAGAACCACCTAACCTAAAAGATTTCAACAATTATTTGAGCTCCATGATTTTCTGACAAGAAAAAAATGCCAATAAGGGCCAGAATTTCTCAAGTACACAGTTCAAAATCATTGAAAATATCTCTGAAATGTAAATATTTGTGGACTAAAAAAATTCAGGTGAAAAAGCACTGTCCTAATAGCTTCAAAAAGTTATACAGAGGATAAATAATTTGTGGTATATTCAAACAATGGGCTACAACTCCATATAAGCAGCAAAACTGACCTATGGAACAAATGAATGAATAAACAAACAAACAAAATCAGAAGAACAGTTACCTCTGAGGGTAGGATGGAAATGGAGATAGACGGGTAAGGGATATGAGGGAATTTTCTGGGGTAATGGAAATGTTCTATATCTTACTAGGAGCTGGGGTTACACAGATGTGTGTGCATTTGTCAAAACTCACCAAATAATATACTTAAGATCTGTGCAAAATTTATATAAATTTTACCTTAAAAAATGAACCTTAAGGAAATATTAATAACTCCAGTTATCATATATCATGCTGAAGTATTTGGGGTGATGTGTACAGATATCTGCAACTTATTTTGAAATGCATATAAAAATTAGATGGATTGATGGACAGATTATAATAAAGCAAATACAACAAAACATCAACAATTATGGAATCTAGAAGGTGAGTATATTGGGGTTCACTATATAATTCTTTCAGCTTTTCTGTATGGCTGAACATTTCCATCACAAAATATTGGAAAAAAATAAAGATGTCAATCAGAATTCAAAAGAAAATAAAAAATGTTCTAAAAAATTAAAACTATGTTTTCTTAAATAATAACAATTTTCCTTTTCGATATTAACATTTTAATCTGTCTAACCTAACATCAAATGAGACTAACTTCTAAAGGGCAAGAGTTACAGGATAACATATTTTTAAAAATCTGAAAGACATACCCGAATTTCTTGAAGGTTGTGAAAATTATTTCCTACTCTGACTGAGATCTTGCTTGGAGTATAGCTTTCATCAGATTTGTAGTCTGCATAAATACATAATGTCTTCACAGTTGTTTTTCTTCTAAAAGCAATAAAGTAAAAACAATATGCCCTTTATCATGTAGAAAGTTTACATCCAAAACATCTTCTGATTTTAAAAATCATAGTTTGCCAAACTGAGCATTTGAATCAACAATTTCCATTTCCTTTAATTTTAACATGATGAAAACGAAGAACATGTAAAAATACAGATAAACATTTACTTATATAGACATCTCTTACCTAGAACATGGTCAAGAACCAGATGTGAGCAAAGAAGGAACAGTTAAGCCAAAATAGGTATCTTAGAGTACAAACAAGCATTAAGGATTTCAGTCCTGGCCGGCCCCGGGGCGTAGCGGTTAAGTGCGTACGCTCCACTGCTGGCGGCCCGGGTTCAGATCCCAGGCGTGCACCGAAGCACCGCCTGTCAGGCCATGCTGTGGCAGCATCCCACATAAAGTGGAGGTCCCACATAAAGTGGAGGAAGATAGGCACGGATGTTAGCTCAGGGCTGATCTTCCTCACAAAAAAAAAAACAAAAAAAGGATTTCAGTTCTCTTCATTTGTATTTTAGACAAAGAAATTATTCTAACAAGCTTGGTTTTCTTTACTAGTTAATTACTTAATTTCCTATGTTAACACCTGAAAATAACTACCTAAGTGAGAAATTAATTCAAGCAAAAAGAAAAGCATTTTTTAAAAAATAGAAAATATAATCTATTACTTAATGTAAGAAACAAAATTCTGTTTTTTCAAAATACACCTCTTAGGAAGATAAGCAAAGACTATATAACAGAAAATAAATCTCAGAAAAAATGCAAGTGGCCAAAAAATATGAAAATATGTTCAATCTCTAATAATCAAAGAAATAGAAATTAAAATACACATAAACATTAGTTTTGTTATCATATTGGAAAACATTAAAATGACTGATAATACCCAAATTTAATTAAAAACAGGTACTTCCATAGCCAGTCAGTAGGTACACAGCCTTTGACCCACAAATTCAACTTCTAAGAATGTATTACAAGACAACACAACTACTCAAAAATGGATCTAGAAAAATGTTTATTGTCCTGCAGTTAAATTACTGAAAAATTATAAACAACCTAAATATCTATCTTAATAAGGAACTAGTTAAATAAATTATAATATAACCATTTCATGAAATACCATACAACTGTTTAAAATAATCATGTAGATATATAGTTATATAGTAGATAGTATATAGATATATAGTAGGAAAAAAAGCAGATTACAAAACAGTATATACAGAGGAGTACATTTTGGGTAAAACAAAAAAATTTTTAAAGGCTTATAAACCTATACATATGTATAGAAAAAGACAAAGAGAATCATACAAAAATAGAAAAAGTGGCTACTTTGGTGAGGTATAACTATGGGAAATCTTTATTTTCTTCTTCACGATTTCTATATTTTCTGATTCATTTTTTACAATAAGCATGTGTGATTTTGTTCATTAGAAAAAAAAAACTAGACAATTTTAAACATCAACCAAAAATACCATTAAGAAGTCTATTTAAACATGCTTTAAAAGTTGAGTCTGGTATAAACTGGCACTAACTTAATTACAATGAGCTCCTTGAACAGAAGCAGCCTGTGTCAAAAGTCAGCCTATAAAAACAACAGGGGATCTGTAGCTCTTAGTGAGGAGACCTAACTTCTGTAGCTTGAGCTATTCATCAGAAAGGAATGGGGAAAGTTACGGACTTTTCCTCAAATAATAAAGACACATCAAGATGTAAAACACTAAATACCCAGAAACTGCTGACAGGATAAATACCATTACCAGGTTTTCAAAAGAGGCCAGAGGTATCAAACTGACATCTTTCTCCTTCTGCTGGGCCAGGAAGGAAGCATGAGTGGAATCAAAGGAAGAAGGGGAAATTCTGAAGGGCATACCAAAGATCTTTTCCCTGATGAGCCATAAGTAGGCAGTGAAAGGTCTTTCTTATTTTGGAGAGATCAAAGATTATGAAGATTACTCTTGAGGACTTTTTTTTTAACAGAAGCAGATCTAAAGGACCACGCTTTTTGCTCAGAATAATTTTATCTCCAAGTTATGAAACTCAGAATAACTTAGTCATTGGAACCTACAAGATAATCAGGGTGAGGTTAGAAAGGCAAAGAAGAATAATAACACTAATGATTATAAAAAACAATAGCAACAGAGGCAAATAGCAAGTGAATATTCTGTGTCCGGCCCAGAAGTAATGCTTTATATGTATTATCTCATTTACTCCTCAACCTTGAGACACAGGAACTATTACCACCTCCATTTTACTGATTTTTTTTTTTTTTAAATAACAACACTCAAGTTAATAACTGGCTTAAGGCCAAAAAGCTAGTAGGTGGGCACAGTCGGAGTTCAAAGGTGTGTCTGCTTCACCTGATCTTAACCACTATCGCCTTCCTATTAATTAACTGTACTTAGCTTATTCAACAGTCATTGATACGAGGTTACAGTAATATGCAGGTGTTTATAGTTCTTTAAATTTTATCTACACCATGGGTTCTTATTCTAAGGTCCATGTATGCCCAGAAATCATATATATAATTTATGCCACATACATAATTGTATTACATTTGCAAAAGAAACTGTGACCAAACCAAAAGTTTAAAATTATTACTCTAAAAGGTACCTGTAAAGCCTTTTAAAATTATTTATCCATTTTATCTCGTGGTGAATTTAAAAAAGAATATTGAATAGAAAATCATGTTGTTTGTTAAACAGCAATGCATGTGGGAAGATTAAATGCCTAGATTACGACACAGTAGAAGCTACTCAAATTATCATTATAATAATAATCACCACATACTAAATGCTTATTATATGCCAGGCATCATGCTAAACTCTTAGGATAAGGAATAGCATAGGATGGGAGAAGGAAGAGGATAATACTTCTGCATGTATGATGACATAAGTAACACTCCTAGCCTCTCTCTCTCTATCCCCTCACCCACTACTCCCTTTCTGCTGAGAAAGAGATGTTGGCAGGAAGCAAACATCTGCTTTGATCCTTCATGTCACAAATTTAATAGGGGCAGGCTCTACATGGTCCAGCACTTTCATAACTGGATGGGTAAGTCTGTTTAATTCTAGAGTTCAGTATTAGGAAATACACTTGACTGCAGAAATAAACCCCTTTCTCAAACATCGTCTTTGTCAGTTTTATAGGGGGTTATTTTGTTCTCTATCTGCTAACTCTTGAATAATTTCTCAACTGATTTGGAACCCATGAAATTGCAACAGAAGACACTAGTGGCAGATACTCCTAGATGCCAACCTACCTGCCTTTTTTCCCTTCTTTCTTCATAACATTCAGCTAAAACACTATATTCCCCAGCTTTCCTTAAAACTAGGTATGACCATGTGACTAATTTATGGCTGGTAAGATTTAAACTGAATGATTGTGTGTTATAAAAAAAGTTTCTTTAAAAGGAAGACATGCCCCTTTTACTTTTCCCACCTACTCCTTCCTACTCCCTGAGATATGGACATGATGGGTGGAATTCCATTAGGCATCTTGGATCATGAAGTGACCTTGAGTATAGAAGCCATGAGCTAAGAGTGGTAGAGTGGAAAGAGAAGAAATCTGGGTCCACAATACACTATGGGGTTACCACACCACTCTTGGACTGCCAGGCTCCTCTTACATGAAGAGAGAGAAGAAATAAATTTCCGCTTTGTTTAAAACACTATTATTAGAAGCTCTGTTACTAGAAGTTCTCATTCCCATTTAATATAGCATTATTATGTCCACATTACAGATGAGGAAATTGAGGCTCAGATCAGGTTGAGCAAGTAGTCCTCATTTACACATCTGGTAGAGCACAGAGCCAGAATTTGAATCTAGGTCTGTATGACTACACCATATAAAAGTAACTACTAACTCCTGAGGTACAAGACTTAAAACTAAAAATAAATAGTCATAAAATTCTGTTTATCATTTCCTGTTAACATGCCAGATACACTATTACCAAAAAACTGAGACATAAAAGAAACATAAAGAGTCCACATATTTGCCTAAAACAAAAAGCAAACAAATGATTTAATATATAAATGACTATATTCTTCTTTGTCCCTGGTACATTGATAGAAAATGCCCTCTTTGTATAAAAGTATGTTTCTAATCCATGTTAACAGGATGCTAAAATGAAAGTTTTCACTGAAGACTAACATGACACAGACCATGTTTTAATAGGACATGTAAGACCTTAATGTAAAATTTTCAGCAGATATGGGTAAAAACCAAATTAAACCAAACGAATAGACAAAAAAATCAGGGATGTCTGCCCATGAAGGAATAACTGCTACAGGACATGCCCTCCCACCATAACCAACTAGAATATCAGACAACAGATAGGAAATACTGTCGGCAGACACTGAACAACAGGCAGCACAGGACTATGAGTCCCAAGAGAAAGGAAACGAATGAGGTGAACCCTATGAACAACTGGGCTTTCTGACTGCAGGCAATTTCTGGATTGCAATGCAGGGAGGGAAAAGCCTAACAGAACCTTGCAGTCTCACCAAGTTGAGGAAGGAGCTATACTGAGAAACAACTCCAGAAATCTGCATGGAGTCCCCTTGAGTCTTGGACTGAATACCAATCTGCACATGCATGAGGTGAAACTCCACAAACACACGCAAAGAAAGAGCAGCAGCTGCTGGGGAAAGAACAATTACCGGGAAGCAGTGAGCCAAACAATTTCCAGAGGTCACATAGGGTACAAATCATTCGAGTTTCCAACAACCAAAATGGAGAGTCCAAATATCTCTCCAAATATCTAGGACATTCATTTGAGATCCCAGAAGGGTCAAGCCATAGTATACCATGAGGCTCATCTTGCCCAAGAGAAGTGATCTTAAAGAATGGTCTGGGGACCTGTGGGGGACCTTAAGACCCTTTCAGGAGATCAACAAAGTCACAACTATTTTCCTAATAATACTAAGATGTTGTTTGCCTCTTTCAGAATCATTCTCTTATGAGTATACAGTGAAGTTTTCCAGATGCA